TAAGGTTACAAATCAGGAAAATGAAATGTTTTATTTTTCAAATATATGTTTAAATTTATCAGATCGTGGTGGTAGTTCTTAAGTTTCATTTTGAAATTGTAGATTTGGAATTATTCAAGTGTTTTTGTAACATACACGTTTTGAAATCATGTTATAAGTAAATAATATTATGAAATATTATGTGAAATTGAATGTTGAGTTCTAACAGATAGTTTTTACTAGAAATGAAGTAAAACTATGTTTACAATCACTCATAAAATGTTGGAAGTCTTATGAGATTCCTAATTAAAAATCAAATAGTGAAATATAGCGAAAATATAAAATTTGGAATAAGTAAAATTTTATTATTGAAAGTTGTAGATAATCTCGTTAGAAACATTTGGGCGAAAACCTCATCGAAATCCGAGTTATAACGAAGAAGTTATGACCAAACGAAGATCCATGATAAATCCGGAAAATACTTTGTTGCGTAAAAATTTAGCTTTCGATAAACTAATTTTTAGCCTTAGTAATCTAAATGAAAGTTGTAGAACTCGTAAAAATAATCAACTTTCATATAAAGACCGTTTGAATCTGACTTCGTATGAAGAAGTTATGATTTTTCGAATGTTTCAGCTTAGCAGTAGACAGCTAAAAACTCGAATTTTAGATCGAGTGATTTTTAGCCGACCCAACCTAAATGAGAATTGAAGGTCTTGTCATTAATAGTGCAATGGTAAAAGGTCTGACGAAAACGGACGTCGGATGAAGAAGTTATGAACTTTTAACGGATTTTCCTGTCCCGGTCTGTTAAAAATAATAATATTAAAATTAAAGTCAAAATTAGCCGACGAAGTCTAAACGAAAGTTGTAGAGCGTAATTTTAGCTACGCGTGCATATAAAGAACGTAAAAAACGGAGCTCGTATGCGAAAGTTATGGAGTTTAAAAGTTTTGGCGCGAAAACCAAGAAATTTCGCATAGGTGGCTTCGGCCACGTCACCCTCGCTTAAAAGATGCCACGTATCCGAAATTGGTGAGTCACCGAAGCCAGCTGGCAAGACGTGTCGCCTGCCCTCGCATCCGAAGTCCGGTCCGCTAAGAATCCGATGCGTGCCCTTTATCACGTCTGCGAGCCTCGCAGGGGGTGCCACGTCCGAAGCCTGGGACTAGACCTTGGTCCAATCAGAAGCCGACACCGAGCCCCTCGCATGCGCAACCCACGTGCGAGCCACCTGTGCACCCTCGCCCTGCTGATGCCGTGTGTCCTCGCTGCTGACTCCCCTTCCTTAGCCGATTTCGGACCTCCCTATAAATACAAGGGGCTGCGAGACCTCTCGGGTAATTTTGGAAAATTGCCACTTTCACCCTTTTTTTTGATATTTTTACTATTCCGATTTCCCCCGAAGCCCCGGTACTGATTCCAAAGCCCGAAACACGCCCCGAGACTCCCGAGAAACCCGAAAAATTTATCTTTTCGGTTTCGAAGCTCTACCTTCGCAGAGCCCGGTTTTCAACGACAAAAGTCATATTTAGAGCCGAAGTACTGTCCAAATTAATATTTTAGCCCCCCGGTTATTTCACGGTGAGTTTAATATATAGAAATAATTGTATGTTATGTATTATATGTGCTACGTGCTTTTCAGTGTTATTATTCCGGGTTATTTTTATTTGCTATTTTTAATAGCAAAGAAGTACCTTTGACCATGTGATCAGTGAAAGGACTTAGATTCACGTTGGTATTGGTATGTAGCCTCTGGCCATGTGGAACATGTCTCCGTAAGAGAATGAATTCTATTCTATGGTAGTGACAGAAGGTTAGACAGGGCTATAAGCCTGAAATCTACCGAAATGTTAATCCGAAGTTGTATATCTTCTTTGCCGTTTGGGCCAAAGCTTTATTGATGTATATCAACCATGGAAATTGTTATGTCTCATTGATTGTATATATTTCAATCAAATCAATGATTGATATGGAATGTTTGTCACATGATTCACATATGCCCTTGTTGTTCCTTGTTCCTCTTTGCTTCTGCCCTATTAAAGTATATATATGGCATAACGTTATATTGTATCTATTATTGAACTCACTAAGCGTCACCGCTTACCCTCTCGATGTTTAACAAATTGCAGGAGATAAACATCCAGTATAGTTATATACTGGTAGAAGATTTTTGAATAGTTTGAAACTATTGTATCGATAGAAGCTTATGAATAGTTTGAAACTATTGTATTTTGCACTCCCATATGTATAAAACTATAGAATCCTGGGAAGTTATGTAATATATAACACTTTAAAATAGTCGGTTTGTATCCAGTAGTTTGTAATCTCTTTATCAATGTAAAATATTGGTTTTATGAATATGCAAGTAGCATGTTTTGGAGTAACTATATTGTCGAGTATGAAAGTTTGGGTCTTTCATAAATACGAAAGTTGGGGTCTTTCAGTTTTGTCATTCAAATATGGAAAACTTGTGTTGTGGTGGCGGTTGCGTCAGTGACCAATGATGGTGGTGATGATGATAGTATTGATCGGTAGTGGTATGTGAGAGAGAGAGAGGGGGGGGGGGGGTGGGGGATACATGGAGGGGTAGTACAGGTGGTGCAAGTCCAAAACTTTATAGACCAAAGTAATAATTTTTGGCATACCACGGGACCATTTTTGCAAATGTTTTAATGTGATTATATCTACAGAAAAACTTTTAAAAAAAATTTCAAAATTCTTACAAGTTTATTTTATGAGAATAATCATAATCATTAAAGTTTTAAAATGTTTATTATAAAAAACCAAAAACAAAACGTCTCTAAATTAAGGTTATGTAGAAAAACGCACATACTGCATAAGCCGCCTGTACCATACCACACCACATCACATGATGCGGTTTGCAATTTCTAATTTTGTCAAATCGCAATGCACAGACCGTTTGTGGTTTTTAAATATGAAATCACGGTTCAAATCGTTGTATAGATGATAACGTTGTGTGTGTGCCAAGTACCTTTTTTTTTTTAACCGACAATCTAATCTACTCCTAAACTAACAACACCTATTCCATCATATGTCCACGACCAGATTTGAACCCTCGATCTCAAAAAGGAAGGACATCATTTGATATCGCTGGGCTACAAGCTCTTTGGTGTGTGACAATTATCATAGACAATTTGTTTATTTGCTAATTGTTTATATGTTTTTTTTATTTTAATTTCGATTATTTCATATAATACTTTTATTAGATATATAATTCTTTAAACCGTATAAAATCACCGCACCGCACAAAACCACACCACATCACGTAATGCAGTTTACATGGTTTGCAATGCGGTTTGTGGTTTTCGAAAAACTCAAACTGCATATTTGGTATGTTTTGTGGTTTTATTTGTAAACTCTATCAAACCACACCACAAACACCCCTACTCTAAATGCCAATAAATTTTAAGAAATTTTCTCCTAATTATATTCGCGAGTTTACAGAAAATAAACTTTTTTTCTTAAATAAACTTTTTAAGGGTTTCGTATTTTTATTTTTTAGAAATATTAGGTTTTATTTAGTATGGCCATTTTTTTTTTGTTTTCAAATTCAAGGAAAAGTTAAGTGTTATTCATAATTTACAATTTTTTTTTCAAATGTTATGTTGTTAAGGGCTCTCAAAATTTTTAAAAGAATTTAAGTTTTTATTAAACCTAAATGAAAAGTTTTGTTCTTTAAATCAAAAATTATTTTAAATACTTCTTATATATCATATATAATATATGTTTTAAAAAGAAAATTTTCAAAAATAATATTTTCTAAGATATCACATTTTATTTAATAATATTATAAGTTTTTATGAAAATAATATTTGAAAGTGATATAATCAAAAAACAAGATGATTTAAATATTATGATTAAACGTTTGTGATTTTTAATTTGTTATAATCCAAACATTATGATTCAAAAATGTTTTAATTCAAAACATGCTATGAAACAAAAACTTAATTTTATTGAAAATGTTATGATATAAAATATAATAAATCAAAATCTATGTGAAAAATTTTATTTTTTTGAAAATAATATAATCCAAAAAAGATATAATTCCAAATATTTATAATACTTAATTTATTATTATCAAAAAATATTATGATTCTAAAATATTATCATTTTTAATATAGTGATTCAAAAATATTATGATTTCTAACCTTTAAACATTTGAATAACATACAATTAAAAAAAAGTAAGAAAAAGAAAATAGTTTAATGAGATAATGCAATTATATATCATTTGCATATGGTGCTTAACTTCGAAAAAAAATATATTTAAATATCATTTTTCCTACATGTTTTTATGCTCAATAATAAACATGCATGCCCGTTCAAAACTTCAAATCAAGATGGCATTTGTGTTTACAGATTAATATCAGTAAGATGTCAATCACTTAATATGTATGTATAATTAATCGTTTATGGAAATACTGTAACCAAAACCATAGTCATTAAATACCGGTGGTCATGAGATATAATGAGACAAAGGTACATGAATAAAATACTATTCGAGTATTAAACTTATATAACAATATATTAATTACAAATTAATATTAATAATATGCCAATAACTTAATATGTATGTATATGTAATCGTTTAAGGAAATATTGTAACCAAAACCATAGTCATAGATTAAATACTGTGTTCATGAGTTATAATGAGACAAAGGTACATGAACAAAAATACTATTAGAGTATTAAACTTAAATAACAATATATTTACTTATTTAGCAATTATCAACGATAAAGTGTGCTTTTTGGAATTGTTAACATTACAGCTATGATCCTAAGATGTTTCTTTGTTTGAAACATTGTGGTTGTCATAAAGATACTTTTCTTCGGAAATGTTTTGTTAAGGTATTTATCATATTTTACTGGGAATAAATTTTATCACATTTTTATTAAAAGAGGTACTCTGATTTTTATAAAGCATAAACAAAATCGGTCTTTTCTGGCCGTGAAAATGGAGATGTCACATGACTCGATTGCCAAAACTGAAGACTGAATATGTCAATTATGGTGGGAAAAAAACGTGTCAGGTTTGATGAATTTGGAAAGTTTACAGGGAAGAATAACGCAGTCTTTGTTAGTTATTTGGATGATCTTGTCCGCGAGAAGGTGGGATTAAGTGCTCTTTGCTGGAAAAAAGTTAAACCGGAAATGAAGGACAAACTATGGGAAGAGATAACAGTAAATATTTTCTTCAATTTTTTAATCTTTATAACATAATATATGTAAAAATCAAGTTTTAAATACTAACATTCTCATTGTTTTTTAGCGCTATTTTAAGGTTCATGAAAGTGGAAAACAATTTTTGATGAATAGACTTGGTATTCTTCTACGGAATTTCAGAAGAAAGTTGTATGCAGATTACATCAAACCACATCTAGGCGATACCAATATGCTTGAAAAATCCCAGTTCGTTATTGTGTACTAATCACTGAACAAGATGATTGGAATAAATTTGTGACTTATACACAATCTCAAGAGTTTAATGTTAAAATCCTTTTTCAAAACTTATTCATTTATTTATCATAATCTGGGTTCTAAAACTTTGTGACAAATATGTTACTTTTAATTCACAGAATGTGTTACAAAGGACTATCAAAGCGAGAAAGATGTCAAAATATGATCATCGGATGAGACGAGGGGGGTATACAACTCTTAGGAGGAAGTTGGTAAGCTACATTAACTTCATATCATTTTATTTAACATGCTTTTGTTTCATATTCTTTATAATTTATTTATTTTTAACAAGATTGAAGAGAATGTGATTTCGAAGGAGGAAATTCCCACAAGGTCAGTTAGGTGGTGTAAAGGAGAATTTAAGGATGAAGATGTTAAAATCATGGCTGATAAACTAGTAGATAAAAGGACAAGTAAATGTTGAACCATGAATGGATGCCATGACCTTAGTTTTTGGCAAGGAAAATGGCGCATTTTTAAAGGGTGTCGGCACGGGAGTCACTTACAACAGATATTTCAATGTTCCTCGCAGCAAAGGGTCATCTAAGGAAGAAATTAAAGATCTTAAAGTTGCACTGCATAATGGGAAACTTGAGCTTGAGAAAAAAGATGTTGAACTCAAGGCTTTGTCTACAAAGGTTAATGAAGAAGATCAAACACTAAAGCTAGTTTTGGCTCATCTTAATGCAAAAGGAGCTGACTTTCCAAATCTGTCTCATACAATTTTAAGTAATCTTATTGAAAATATCTATTGTCAATGTTAGTTCTAAATTGCATTTCTTTTAAACATTTTTCCTGTTTCTTTATATTTTCTAAGGTATTTCAAGTGAGAAGATTGTACAGAGTAATGAAACGTCTCCTGTTAGTCTCAAAACCAATGAACCTTCAGAACCTGTAACACCAGTATGTTATCGTCTTATTAGATCATTGTTGATATATATATATATATATATATATATATATATATATATATATATATATATATATATATATATTTGTTTGATATTGATTTTTGATTTTTCATGTTGGACTTTATATTATGTAGGTTATTCCAAAACCCAACAAAAAACGTGTTCAAACGAAATCTGCAACTACAACACCCGATGCAAAATTGATTTCCATGAAATCTGCAACAATAGTATATACTAACTTTACAATTTTCAATACTTTTATTAAATCTTTTTTATTAAAATATATGTTTAAATATGTCTTAAATCTTAATATCAGGCAAATACAAAAACCACCAACAAAACTGTTGAGTCTAAGACTAACACTATCAATCATGACATGCCAAAAGTTTCACCATATAATCTCATTCACCAGGTCAGTGTTTTTTTACATGATGAATATACATTTCTGTTTTTTTTTTCCAGATTATAACATTACTTGTCATTGTAGCCAATCAAGTGTAGTCTATCATATCCGTATAAAAGGAACATCGTTGCTCGCGGTACCATTCACTTATCATCATAAAGACAATTCATTCATGGAGTTCCTCTACAAGATGATTGCTATAAAGTTTCCATTTATGAAAGTGGTTGTAAAAACTGCATTTCTACCCATCAAACTGGAGAATTCAAATTAGTTGAGGATGCATATTAAAGTTTTGTTCCATGGCCAAAATACATTGTGAAAACCGAGTCAGAAGTTTGTTTCAATATGTCCAATACTTTTTGCATTAAACTTTATTTTCTTCATAAAGTACTATACTAAGTTTATGATAAATTAATTTTATTGGTTTCAATGTTGTTGTTATAGGTACCAAAAATTATATCACATCAAAAATCAATAAAAAGGAAACCAACTTACATATCATCTGATGTCTTTCTGAAGAAGACAAGGAGCAATACAAACAAAAAGAATGCATAGCTAGTTATGTTTAGGTTTTGGTTTATGATGTGTTTGATTTTTTAACCGTTATATAAATTCTTTAAATTATGCAAATTTTCCTTTCTTTAATATTTTAATTAGGAATGTAATGTATATATGGATTTCGATTTCAATTATTATTAATATAAAATTATGAATTTTGTTTGTGTTTCATATTGTTGTGTTTCGTTACTTTAATTTAAAGTATTTTCATGCGTCTAAAATGTATACAAAGTAACAGTAAATAGTAAGTTATAGTGGTTGTAGTATGATTTTTGCCATGTTATATACGTTTTTAATATTTCTAAAAATATACAATGGTTACTTTACATCAATTTGTAACATGTGGCTAAATGGTTAACAATAGTCATAATATACAAGACTTATAAGACTACAATTGATTTAAAGTGATGTTTATTAAAAAAAAAATTCTCACTAAGTTAAACAATAACAACATGGAAAACAGTATATGTGGCAAATAAATACCATAATTGATTGTTGTTGAGACTATATACTAGGAAATCATCACATAGATCATTAACTATATGTGTCCATTTACCGAACACGGACATGTTTACCGTAAATTATATGTGTCTAAAATATACCCAATAGTCTTAATACGATACCGAATTGTTCTTAATTTTAACAAAATGTGTGACTTTATAATACTTATGATTTTAATTCACATCTTCGTTTGTCTCTATACGTTAGGTTATAGTCACAAACGTTGATTGGTTTTTGTGACTAATAATTAGCAATTCGTCACATATGAAAGTAAAGTAGTTGTGGCCATTTAGCAAACATGGTCACACTCACCATAATTAAAAGTTTACAAAAGATACACAATAGTCTTAATAAAATTTAAATCGTGTGACCATATGTAAGAAAACAACTACACTAAAACATCATGAATGCCGCATTTTGGTGATATACAGTCACAACGTTAAATAAATATATGTGACTAATAACTGTTTAACTCTACAATATTGGATATTTAAGGAACAAAATTCCGTACACATTTGCCACACTTTTATACTACGACCACATGTTTTCATAGCATACGGACACTACATTTTAAAGTGACCATAAGACCCATACGATGGCTTCACCTTCCGTCACACTTTCAGTAAAAAAATAAAATGTCACTATACGCATATAGTCACACTTTTTTGGTGTGACTGTAAGTCATTTTTCTTGTAGTGTAAGGATCTTAAGCATGAAAGAAGCCTTGAACTCAATAAAGTTTGCAACTTTAAGCCAAAAGAGGCCACCAAACGTCCAGATCTAAAGTGATGAATCCATGAAATGCTCAACCCCATAAACAATCCAAAGATGAGTCAAATATGACAATAAACTTTCAAGAAGAGATCTAAGCAAATAGATAGGAAAGTTTTCGACTTTTTACCTCAATAGAGTAGCTAAACTCAAGGAGATTCTGGATCTATAGCTTTCCCTTTAAGCTAGGCACCACCAACTTCAAGCTCTTTCAAAAATGAGACCAAAATAAGCAACTTTTAAGCTCACACACTCAACTTGGGGTAAGATGCACGAATTCTAAAGTTTGTGGACAGAGGAGGCGATTAGGGAGGCCATCAATGGGACTTAAGGCCTTTAAATATGGTGCAACACCCTAAAATTTAGGGTTTCATATTCAGTTGCCAACTCGTTGAGTTTTCCCCTCCAACTCGTCGAGTTGGTCCAAAAAGATCTGCAACCCAAAAACTTTCAACACGTCGAGTTGAGGCCATCAACTCGACGAGTTCCAAAAAAATTTGCCTTTTTAATAAAAATCTCATACCTGAAAATCGAGATGTTATAACTTTGTATTAAAAGTAGGGTGTTACATGATGGACTAAAAAATCTTCCAAATAATATATGCAACGTGAAGACACTCACCCGTTTACATCTCACTGATTGGTTAAATATAGATTAATTAGTTGAGGGACATATTTGGTCAATTGTAGAATATGCATGTGTTATATCCCGATGGTTATACATCATTGCTAAATCTCCCAAATCTATTAGATCTTGGAGGTGGTGTGATGGAGCAGGATAATATGGTAATAGATGTTCTTGGAAATGGTGGGATGTAGGTAGACTCACTTGATAATAATAATAATAATAATAAATTAATAATAAATAATAAAAATACACCATAAATGGTAAAAGATAAATTTTATTAAACTTAATAGATATAACTAACTAGTGTTACTCAGAGGATCAAATTACTTTTGCAAGTTGAAACTCTTTTGAACTTCGGTTAAAGGTTAAAGAAAAATGTAAACCATAAGAATCATTTTTGTACTTTTCGTCGGATTTTTTTAAACATACAAGTGATAGGATCTCTTGTGTGATTCAACACCCTCAAAAATAAAAGTCTCTCAAAGCATATAAAATACCTTCTAAATATTATGGATCGTCTGAAGCAAGATCCATAATACATGCATCAACTAAAAGAAAAATCCTTTGAAACTAAAAAAACATTCAATCCACAATGAATTCCCATGGATTGTAGATGATTTTAAATATCCTTTCGTCCCAAATAATCAATTTGTCTCTTGCTTTTGAAAACATCTAACGAATCATCATAATTAACTTGAGTAAAAAATATTCTCGTTTTATGTTGCCATAAGGAAAAGCTAGAATCTATCAATACATAACCAAAACCCGGATCCGTTTTCCCTTTTATGTACATTATTCACATACCTTATTTATTTACAATATTTAGATAAAAATAGGTTTAGCCTTCCATTTTTCATTGTAACAGATCCAATATATTCAGATCTCTTTGTGTATATGTACCTGTTCTAAAATTCATCACATATAAACAAAATTCTACTGATTACAATTATATGGTATCAGAGCAGGTCCTTCCTTTTTCCCTAAACAATTCTCTACGCCGCCTTCATGGCTACTGAACCTAATTCCTCTTCTTTTATCATCAATTATCTTCCACTCACCACATCTTCCCTTACCCTAGTTCAATTTCCCTCTTCACTGAAATTGACTCCACCAATTACATGAGCTGGAAGACTCAAATTGAAGCCTTACTATATGGATTCAATCTTTACAAGTTCATTGACGGTACTCACCTACCTCCACAATCCATTGTTACTGTTGATGGCGTTCCTACTCCTCACGCCGACTATCCTGCTTGGTTTCGCTAAGACTGCTTACTTTTTGGTGCCATTGTAGGTACTCTTTCTCCCACAATCGTCCCTCTGATTACCGGTGCTACTACCTCCCTTGAAGCCTGGAAAATTTTATCAAATACATATGCTAAACCATCCAGAGGCCACATCAAACAACTTCAACACCACCTTAAACAAACCACCAAAAGTTCTGATCAATCCGTCACTGACTATATGCAATCCATCAAAACAATTATGGATGAACTCAGCATCTTAGGCAAGCAAATAGATCAGGAAGATATCACAAACACCATCCTTACTAGTTTAGATTTGACATCGTACAAATCTGTCATTGAAGCCATCCATGCACGTGATACACCCATCTCCTTTTCAGAACTCCATGAAAAACTTATTAACCATTAACTCTCCTTAATCCAACTAGCACCTATTCCCACAACTATTCATCAACCCACTACTGTTTTTGCTGTCAACAAAAGACCTCCACACAGATCCTGGACCAACCGCACTACCTCTCCAAACACTCCTATCTTACCTACCCCTCAACAATCACCCCGCTCCAACAATAACTCACCACGCCAATATATGGGTAAGTGTCAATTCTGCTTCAACAAAGGCCACTCCCTCACATCATGTTATACCTTCAAGAATAAATATCCATAGGTTACATTGCCATCCCTGCCACGAACCACCTACACCACCAATCTTCCTCAAGCACATGTCATGCACACTCCAAACTCAAATCCAGATTAGCTATTTGATAGTGGAGCATCACATCACATTACCAATGATCTTAACGCCTTGTCTCTCCACACCCCCTATGAATGGAACTGATGAACTAGTCATCGGAGATGGTTCGTCTCTTACTATCACTCATATTGGATCTTTATCTCTTAAATTTTCTAACACCACATTCACTCTTACAAATGTCCTCTGTGTCCCTTCTATCTCCAAAAACATAATTTCTATTTCTCGTTTATGTATTGACAATCACATACTAATCCAATGCTACTCTTTTCATTTTTTTTATCAAGGATCTCAAAACAAAACAGATCCTTCTCCACGGTCTGGCTAGTCGAGGCATCTATGAGTTGCGATCCACACATCCACATCTGGATTTTCTCTCCAATAAGTCCATCCCCTGGCACCATCGCCTTGGACATCCTCATCTCAGAGTCTTACAACATTTAGCTTCTATTATTCTTGCAATTACTTCATTGAAAAATAATTCTAGTTCTTGTTGCATTAATAAAAGTCATAAGCTTCCTTTTCATACTACCTCTCTAACATCCACACATCCACTTGAATTAATTTTTTCAGAAGTTTGGACCTCTCCACTTCAATCCATTGATGGTCATAAATACTACATCATCTTTGTAGATCATTTCACAAAGTATACATGGTTATATCCACTGAGAAACAAATCTGATTCTGTGACGACTTTTATACGTTTTC